GCAATAGGAGCAGGAGCAGAGTCTGCATTTTACTCCTGGGCCTTGAGATCCTCCCTCTCCCTCCCACCTTACCTCGACGCCAGCAGCCTACTTATAATAACCAGGCTGGAGTGGTGCAAGTAGGGCTGACTTACAGGTGAACTTGGTCAGCCCAGGGTCCCAGGTTTGGGAGAAGCAACCTTCTGCTCCAAAACAGATGCCACACCCCTTGTGCAGGTGGTGGCCCCTTACTCCCCAGGGGCACTTTAGGTAGGAGGGTATATCCAGCCCCAGAGCACCAGCACCCAGTCCCCTGCCACTGCCCAGCCTTGGCACAACAGTGTCTCGTAGCAGCTGGGCAGCGGGAGTGGAGGCGGTACCGGCAGTTTTTGTTCGAACCCACGGGGTTCGGAGCACTGCCGGGTCCCAAGTTACCAGCCCTTATCGCCCAGGTTACCAGCCCTTCCTCCACCTCTTCCCTCTCCCAGCCCCCCAACCCCCTTACCGGGTTCGGCGTCCGCTCTGCGGCTGGTTTACCCGCCCGGCTCCAGACGACGGCTGGCAAAGGGGCGGGGCCAGCACCGTGACGTTGGTCCAGAGTGAAGGACCACTTTCGCCTCTCAGCTCGTCCCCCAGCCATTGGCTGGCCGCTGGCCGCCTCCCAGCTGCTGTGCCCGCCTCCTGGAGCCTGAGGCAGGCAGGGCGCCACGAGGGGAGCTCCGAGCTAAGGCTGTTTTTTGTTTCCATCCCCGCTCGACAAGGAATGGGACCCTCACTGTTGTCCGGAACCGGGCAATGGAAGGTGACGAGGACTCCAAAGGTTGGGCTAAAGGTGGGAAGTTTTGAGATGCCCCCACCCTGCCCCTACAGCTGAGACACAAGGTGCGTTCACTGAAGAGGCCTCGAAATCCAGCAGGCTTTCTCCCGGCGGTGAGCTCCGCCTCTACCCTGTTTTTGACAAACGTTTGTTGCAACTTCAACAGCCTTGTTTGTCTTTTAGTGGAAACAAGGTCAAGCGCTCAATTCTCTTATATCCAACAATAAGAGCAGGAGTGAAGCCTAAATAGTGGTTCAAAGACTTTGAGTTCCCTTGGACTTGCTGATTTTCTTCCCAAATTATGGAACCAACAATATAGCTAGCCATTTTTTTCCTTAGTTAAGTCAATTAAAAAATCATTGGTCATAACGAAAGCAATAACATCTTAACACCCCAAAGTAGGATTATAATCCCTCTCAATCTCAGAGTAGAGAGCACTAAGACGTTTGCAATCACCCTTTATCGTTTGGTGCGGGACTGAAAACTTAACTTTGTTATTGGCTGGCTGTGAACCTGGGGCAAACGTGTCCACACTGCCCCCTAGAGCTCAAAAGGTTGAACTACAACCTTTAAGTGAAGGTCTTCTCTTTAATTTTGGAAGATCATTTCCCCTCCCTTTCTGCTCTAAAGTGAACTAGAGCTTTTGCCAGGAATCAAGGAACCTTGGAGGGAGTACTAAGAGATGGGAAAGGGAATTGACAGGTAAAAGGCGATTTTGGCCCAGAGGTTTTTGGAAATAGAAAGATTTCCAACTCAGCTGTGTTCAATTAAATCTTTGGTGAGGTATGATGCCCAACCTATCCTACCAGCCTTGAAAAACAGGCTCAGCCCAAGGATACAGAGAAATCAGTTAGGAACTCTCTGAAGCCACAGGATAAGACTTCTCCCTGATAACAGTATCACCTTGTGTGCCCCACACATACTTTACATAATTGACATTTAAACCTCAACTTTTCTTCATTTTACAGAAGAAGAAACTGAGGCAGAGAGCAGCTAAGTAACCTGATCAAGGCCACAGCTGGTAAGCTGGCAGATGGGACTGCAATGCCAGCTCTGTTTGACACCAGTCCTCTTTCCTGTCCTTCTGCAACAATACCCAATCTTTCTCTTTATCATTCTCCCCCATCCACCTCCACTTAGACTGTGATGGACTGAAGGGCTTCAAGTACAGTAGCAAACAAGAGCAGATCTAGAAAAAAAAAAAAAAGAGCAGATCTAGGAGAAATTTTCCTGTTGGGGTAGAAGCCACATGATCAATTAAAAACACAAATTTAATGATTTTTTTAACCTTCTTTAACATGGACCCCTCTGAGATACAAACAAGGCAATGCACCCTTTTGCTGGAGAAATGCACATAAACTTTTGCATAATACTTCAAAGGATTCACAAATACCACCTCTCCCTCCAGTCTCATCCGTTGTCTGCCCAGAGATCCATAGACACCCCTCTCTCCCACCAATATATGTTTCATTAAGAGGCCTAAAAAGTAAGCTAGGTCAGATTTGATGAGCTCTCTAGTGGCCTGGGAATAGGAGTTTAACTGCAATAAAGGGAATATTTTCCAAATTGGGCTATGTCATTATTCAAGAAAAGATTAAAGGGAATAAGGAGATACCAAGATGTAGGAGAGGGTGTGTTTCTGATTCAATAAAACACTGGATGCCCTTTCTTCCAAATTTCTTGTATCAGACAGAAAAATAGCAAAAAAAAAAAAAAAGAAAAAAAAGAAAAAAAAAAGAAGCAACACTCCAATACACTTTTCTTTTCTTTTTTTTTTTTCCTTTTTTACTTACATTAAATACATCGGTAAATCAGCAGTCGCATTCTGTTACCACGATTGTTATGTTGGGAGAGGAAGAAAAGGGGAAAAAGGCAAATGCTTTCTTAGAAGAAGAAAAAAAAGGACACCCCCCCCCCAAAAAAAAACTGATCAGAAAAAAAATGAAGAGCTGGGAAATAAAAAGTAAGACCCCCAAGCCCAAGAGAGCTCAAAGGAAAGCAGAGGAGCTGGTAGGAAATAGAAGGAAGGCAGCAGATAGGCCCAGAAGCTAAGGCCAATCCTGTTCCTGAGGGGGCTGGGGAGGGGAGAAGAAGCCTGGAGAAATGGTTTCCCAGCCCCAAGGCAATGAAACACTTCACTCCTGTTCCATGGGGAAAGATGCACAGAGGAAAAAAAAAACAAAACAAAACTTCATTTCTAAGGAATTTAAGAGAGCTATCCTAGTTCTTCCACTTATAAGGACGCACTGGGTGCTTTGGGAGGCTGGTAGGTGCTGGGAAAGGAAGGGGAAAATGTATGTGTGTTTCAGGGCCACGGGAACTAAGGCTGCCCCTGGAAAAGGAAGGGAAATGAGTCTTAAGTGGAAGAACCTAAGCTGGGTCCTTCAGAGTCTCAGCTCCAAGGATTTTTCAGCTGCTCTGGGACAGAAGGTAGTCTGTAAACCAAAGGGTAGAAAGGTTCCAATCCTAGGTCACTGTGACCTTTCCTATCTTACTTCCCCCAGTTTTCCCAAAACTCTGGGCTGGAACAAGAAGGAGTTTAGAGTTCTCTCTTGCCTTGATGGCTTCCCAAAGACATCCTAAAATACCTGATGAAGGATGTGAAGAGTGGCTAGAGATTTAGAAAGGACCCACGTCCCCTGGTGATGTGAGGCAGCTGTGATGGACCTTCAGTGCCAGTTGTCCCCTATTCACAGGAACAGGTGTTATGGTGTGAGGGGGCCACAAGTAGGCCTCTGTGGTATTAGCCCCTAGTGGTACGTGGATTAAACCACTGGCTGGGGGTGGGTATGAGGATAAGGATGGAGGGACTAAACTGAAGATACTAACAAAGGAGAAAAGATTTAGGGCCTGATGGGAGGTGGAGGACAGAACAGACTGTACAGTGGGAATAAAGATCATACCTATTTACAGGGAAGTAGAAAAGACATGGTAATGGGTGGATCATTGAACATGAACCTTAGGAAAGGACAGAAAACTCCTCCCTCTTGCCTGACCCTTCTTCACTCCCATACCATGGCCTAGGCTATCCTGAGACCACTCTCTAGTTGCTCAGTTAATTACCCAGGAAAGGCAAACCTATACTCGAGAGCTAGGTTGGCAAGAATATAGGTTAAGAATCAGAGTTGGAGGAAGCAAGCAGTGGAGACTGGGCTTGAGTAGCTGCCACTGGTCCTGTTCTCTACAGCCCCTCCCAAAACCTCATATATATACTACCTTGGGTTCCATTTAATTAAAAAGGTGAGAGGGCAGGTAAATCAATCAAAACCCCCCATAAAACAAGTATCCCAAGTGAACTACCACCAATTAAAGTGCAAACTGCAGGGGAATATAGTGGCTGGGGCTGAGGCCATCTAAAGGCCAGAGGGGGGGAAATGCATATGTATAAATCAGAGGATGGGTATCAGAAACTGGTCCCTCCTCTAATTAGATCACAGCAGAACCAAAGATGCAGGCAACCAGTGAAGATTCTTTGGAGGACTCTGGGGTCCAGAGTCTCCCCCACTATGGGGGAGGAGCTACCTAAGAGGCTGGGTGAGGGGGAAATTAGGCCTTGGAACAGTTCCAGAGCCATAGGTGACACTGCATCTCCACCTTCTCCACCTCTGCCCAGTTAGCTAACAACACAACTACCCAGTCCCCGAGAGCTTGCCTTCCCTTTCTCACCTCTACCTAGAAACACCCTCCACAAGGCCAACTCATGGAGACTGCAGTGTTTTCAAATGAGAAACTCCAACCAAAAAAAAAAAAAAAAGGACCTGTTTCCTTACTCCCTCCTGCTCTGAGCCTTACTCTTCCCCAGGGCCCTTAATGTGACTGAACTGGAAACCTCCTTCCTCAGTTCCTGGGTTCACCACCTTCTCCACCCTGGGGAGAGGAGGAAAAGGGGATCAAGAACAGGGATTGACCAAAAGCAGAAGGAGAAGGGGCAGGAGACAAAAAATGTTTTCTGAAAAAATGAGGAGGAGGAAGAGGAGGAAAGATTAAGTAGGTCACTGTCTTGCACCTATAATACAAAGTGAAGAAAGTTTGTTTTGGAAGGTTAAGTCCTGGGGGATCTGACCCCCAAGCCCCAGAGTAGGGGTAGGAGGCCAGTGGCAACAGCTGCCTGGTGTTGGTTGCTGAAGCGTTAAAAAGTGCCATGACGGAGCTGTCAGAAGGCAGCCCTTGGGAGCCAGGGCTCAGTGTGCTGTTACCGTAGGGGCTGTGTGCTGAGGGGTGGGGGTGGAGGTTATTTCTTAGCTCTCGTGCTAGCTCCATACTTGTTTGCTGCTAGCCACCCCCTCAGTTGCTACAACACTGGCTCTTGTTCTGCTGGGACTGCTCATGGAGATCCACGCCTCGGCTTCGGCCTGCTGCACCCCCCAGATTCTGGGGTTCACTCTTTGGCAACTTCTTAGCTAGAGATAAAAAGAGAAGGGGAAAAAAGTATGGTCGATTTTACTCATCCCTCCAAAGGACTATGGGTAGGGGAGAGATGGGGAAGGGAGAAATCTGAGAAATTAAAAGAATGTTTTGAAGAGGGGAAAAGGTTCACTTGTAAACTACATTGAAAATGAGGGGGCTAAAGCCGCAGCCAAAGGATTGAGGTCATAATGGAAAGTTAAGATATTTCCATACCTAAAGTTTTCACAAGGGGAGACATTCCCCTCTACCCTTATGACTTGGGTTAGTGATCTTGTCTAGAGGCAAGGGAAAAAGACAGGAAGATCCCAGGCTGCTCTGACCTTACCTATTGCCAGGAAGAGATCGTTCACGTTCATAGCTGTCTTGGCTGAAGTCTCCATAAACAATAAGCTGTTGTCATCTGCATAGGCCTGGGCCTCCTGCAAGGGGTGGATGTACCAGTACTCAGAATGTAGGGTAGGAACAAGTATTGCCTTTCCACTCCCATGTAGCACCAGAGCTAGGCAATATCCTAGGTTCCCTCCCTTTAATTGCCCCTCTGAGCCAGCTGGCCCTGGACCCATATTTTGGTGACAACTCCCTCAAGGATAACTCATGGTCTAGACAGCTTAATCCAACAAGCAGGTGTCAGGAATCTTAATTATGAGGAAGAAGGTGAGTTGGTTGGGGGCTTTTAGGTTGTGACACTTGAATAGTCCCTTACCTCAAATTCAACTGCTCCCTCTTTCCCGTTTTCACATCAGTACCCCCATAGCTGGTATTTCCCTACCCCTCTGCTCTGGAATTTTCTTCTGTCTCCTCTAAAACCTCCTGGCTGTCATTAGGGTCACAGTGTTGCTGTATTTAACTTGGTGTGGAACTGAGGAATGAGATGATAAATGTCCTCAGATGAGGTTTTCAGAGAGGGCAGGTTTATGAAAAAAAGGTCCCAAGCACAGAGGGAGTGTGTTACAGAGGGATTCTCTGGGCCATCTTACTTCATACTCCACCATGCGCTTATTGGCCAAGTCAGCTTTGTTCCCCGCCAGGGCAATAACGATGCTAGGACTGGCCTGTCGCTGTAGTTCCTTTACCCATGTCTTTGCTCGGGCGAAGGTTTCCTAGGAAAACATAAGAGAAGAATTGGCCAGAATGACTGCCAATCCAGGTCCATCATCTTCAAAACCCAGTCTCAAAACTCACCTCTCCCAGGCAGGCTTCCCTCACTGAAACCACTTGTGTCTTTGTAATCCATTACCTCAGTCTTACCAGTACGTGGAAGTGTAAATTATATTCTTATTTTGCTATTTCAAGAACCAGCTTTCTCTTCCCCACCTATTTTAATTCCTCTAAATAAAAGCAAGAGAATCTTCTCAGCCCACTTACCTGATTAGTAATGTCATAAACCACAATGGCAGCTTGGGCACCTCTGTAGTACATGGGGGCCAAGCTATGGTATCGTTCCTGCCCAGCTGTGTCCCAGATTTCAAACTTGACTGTTGTGTCATCTAGACAAACAGACTGGGTGAGGAAGGCCGCTACGGATGAGAGAATGGAGGGTAAGAAGTTGTAAGTGGGAGGGTCAATGGGAAAATCCCAGCCCCCTTCACAATATTTCCATTTTCTGTCTAAGACCAGTCACCACCCAGGTCATTGAGCTAAGGAAAAGGTTTTCCATTCCCCTCCTTATGTATAGGTCCTAGAAGCAGGATTAAGACTGCCCTTGGCTAAGTCCTTCCTGCCAGAAGTTTCTCTACCTAAGGAATGGGGGCACACAAACTATGAGGGTTAGGGAGAAGAACTGACACTTATACCAGTCATCTCTCTTCTAACCAAAATAGAGGAGTAAGAGATGATGACAGAAAATAAGCTTCAGATAGAGGTCACATCAATAATTAATTAGAAGACTTTAAAGCCTGATGGCAAATCCCACCATTATCAATATTATTTGGCTGTTACTTTTTTATATAATCTTCTGCTGGTCCAAGAACACATTTCCAAGGTGACTAGTAAAAGCAGGGAAGGAGTAACATGGGAGTTCTCATAAAAGATCTTTTACTGAACTAGGGCCCTATTTTGGGAGTAGCAGAAGGTAGAAGGTAGCAAAGGTGGGAAAGGCAGATGCCTTTTATCTTTTGTATTTAGTTCTAGCCTCTCTTTTACCAGGCATGTGCATCAGAATCATCTAAGGAGCTTTTACCAACATACATATCTATACCTCCACCAATCTCACTCTATTTCCAATACTATTCAGTAGATCTAGGATAGGGCCCAAGCATGACAGGATGAAAATGTTTCCCAAGTGATTCTGAAATACATTTTTGATTATGAATCACTGCTCTAAACCAACCCTGCTCAAGATGACACTCAACTGAACTTCAAATGGATTAAGAAAAAAGTGGGATGAAGACAAACTGAGATTTAAAAAATTAGTTGATTTTCTTGGTGTGCAATGGTCAACCTTTCTAATTTTCTTCTAGGAAGCAAGGAGACAAACATATACCTACTTTTTGTCATTATGGCAGTTTTTTTTCTGTTTTATAAAGGATTTCCATTCCAAGGAGCTAAAAAGGCCAGCTCCACAGACAGGTACCTAGATCTCCCTTCAAAAGCCTCACTAAACATTGAGCCTCTTCTTTCCCTGAGGTACTCACCTCCAATAGTGCTCTCTTGGTACTCATGGAACTGCCCTTTGACAAAACGTAATACCAGGCTAGACTTCCCCACTGCAGATTCACCCAGCAGGACCAATTTGAACTGGCATATTTTGCTGGCCTGGGGCTGCCCATTGGGCCTGGCTGTGCTTCTGCTAGTCATGGCTAGATTATCAGAATGGGAAAGGGTGGAGGGAGGGGGATGCCACAAAGCGGCAAAGGGGGGAAGGGGGAAGGGGAGGGGACTTCAGACTTCAACAGTCCTGCAAGAAAAAAAAAGTGGGTAAAATTAAACACAGGGACATTGCAGCTGCAATCCATTTTAGAGAAAAGATAAATCTCTTCATTTCTTTGCTCCTATGAGGACTGAATTAAAATCATCCACCATTAAAAGGTTATCCCACTGACAGGGTCCCAGGCAGCTGACACTCAGTGGTAAGAATGGGGAACAGTAAGAATTGCATCTGGGGGCACCTGGGCGGCTCAGTTGGTTAAGCATCTGCCTTTGGCTCAGGTCACAATCCCAGGGTGCTGGGATCAGGCCCTCTCTCTCTCTCTCAAATAAATATTAAAAAAAAAGAATTGCATCTGAAGTGGAGTTTGCCCTACTACATAATCCTCAACTGCCAAGGGAGCTGAAATGGAGAGACTGAAAACTGTGTGAAATAAGTTTATTTCCCATTAATTCCCCACCAGGTCTTCAATTTTTTTTTTTTAAGATTTATTTATTTGAGAGAGAAAGAACGTGAGTGGGAAGGGCAGAGGGACTCCCCACTGAGCCTGGAGCAGGACACAGGGTTCGATCCCACAACCCATGAGATCATGACCTGAGCTGAAACCAAGAGCCAGATGCTCAACCCAGGCCCCCCACCCCAGGTCTTCAAAAAACAGCAAACCGATCAACTTTTGAGACATTTTTCCCCCCTTTTTAGAGGGGGAGAGAGGGAGAGGGGCAGAGGGAGGGGGAGAGAGAATCTTAAGCAGCCTAGGACGGAGCCTGACAGAGGGCTCCATTTCCCAATCCTGAGCTGAAATCAAGAGTCACATACTTAACCAACTGAGCCACCCAGGCACCCCCAAACCAATCAACTTTTAGTTGGCCTGAAGAACACCCGAATGCACCCACAGGTGCCCTAGATCCCCAGTACCCTGGTATCCTGGTGCTGTCTTTCCCCCGACCCCCATCTTTTTTCTAGCTTTCAAAATGAAAGATTTACTCTAGGGGTATGAGAGGAGTTACCCCTCCCTAAGAGCGGGGGTAGCTTCTGGTTCCGTATCCTTCATACATAACCAGTAGTCTTCTTGACATTTCTGAAACCCTAACCAGGGTTTATTTGCCAAAAAATCTGTTCTTTCTCATTTCTGGTCAAAGGTGAGTAGAAAGATAGACCACAGACAACCAACAGACCACATTCAGCATCCACTCTTTCACTTTGCTCCTGCCACCTCTCCAAGTCTGAGAATCTATCAAATTGAAGAATCAGTAGGCCTGACCTACTCTCAACTTGCAGCTGTCTTCCAGGTGCCTAGGGATTAGATAACTCTCCTAACAGCTGTAGCCCTCCATATTAGAGGCAAAGAAAGAGGGTGTACCTTCTAAACACACGCAGGAGTCTCAAGAGGATGATGTAGGCGTTTTTTCTTTTTTAAAGATTTTATTTATTTTAGAGAGATAGCGGGGCGGGGGGGACAGAGAGAAAGGGGGAGAGAGAATCCTAAGCAGACTCTGTGCCGAGTGCAGAGGTGGACATGGGGCTTGATCCCAGGACACTGAAATCATGACCTGAGCCGAAATCAAGACTCACACGCTTAACCGACTGAGTCACCCAGGCGCCCCATAGGGGTAAATTTTCAAGCAATAAACATTTGATGAAAATAAACTGAACTACCTATCTTTACCTTTCAAGAGGCCTGGAAACCTGGTGGTGGAGGAAGAGACAGAGGTTGAGACTCTTGAGAGTCTAATCATCCAAAATTGAATGTATTTCATCATTCTGACTCTGAGGGGAAAGGGACTATGAGATTGAAAGGAATTAGCATGATCAGAGCATGCAAAACCTCTGTCCAAAACCTAAGCATTACTTGGGTTGTACTTTGTTCAAATTAATCTTTTCTTTTTTCAAGGTTGATTCTAGTAACAATCTGTAATTCTAGTAAAGCTAGAAAAGACAGTAAAGACAGACAAGCAGAAAAATCATACAAGAGGCAGTGCAGAGGAACAAAGCCTGTCCAATTCACTGGGTTTATTTTTACAGTTCTGCTTACTAGCTGTGAAGCTTTGGGCAAGTTACTAAATCTGTGCATTCATTTCATCTGTAAAATGGGATAATAGCCTTATGAGCACTTACTTCATAAAACTGATGTGAGAATTAAATAATAGAATTAATTTTTTTTTTAAAGACTTTATTTGACACAGAGAGACACAGCGAGAGAGGGAACACAAACAAGGGGAGTGGGAGAGGGAGAAGGAGAAGCAGGCTTCCCGCCGAGCAGCGAGCCTGATGTGAGGCTTGATCCCAGGACCCTGGGATCATGACCTGAGCCGCAGGCAGACGCTTAACCTAGGCGCCCCGGTAACAGAAATAATTTAAATGTAAGTATCTGACAAGTGCTCAATGAATATTAAGCTACTAATCATTACTAATGACATCAAGAAAATTTCAGAGCCTTGCCTTCCACCTTTATAAAATGGAAAAACTGCCTACCTCATAGAGTAGCAATGAAGATTAAGGAAAAGATGTGTTTAGCATAGTGTTAAAAAATAAGTATTGTTATTTAGTGGCCCTGATTCACAGAAAAGATGAACTTAATATATTAAAGTATATCTCAATATTAATTTTAACTAATATATTCCTAAAAAGCAGGCTTGATAAGAAGTAGAGAAAAAAAAACAGAAAAAACAAAAGTGTAAAGAGGAAGTTAACGGGAATGAGATAGAAGTGAGAACTCAGAAAAGTCCCAAAGTAGACTGGATTAAGATAGAGGAATGTAAGAAATTACTCTGATTCTACTGGGTATTTTATATTCCTCAGGCCAGTGAGTCCTAAGAATCCAGATATACATAGGCTATTTTGTGATGAAGTTTTCAGTGATTTATGATGAAATGATAAGAAATAGAGACAATATAGCAAGTTTTGCATAAAGCTAAATTTATTCAAGAAAAAAATTTTTTTAAAGTAGGCTCCACACCCAGCATGGAGCCCAACACGGGGCTTGAACCCACGACCCCAAGATCAACACCTGAGCTGAGATCAAGAGTTGGACACTCAACCAACTGAGCCACCCAGGTGCCCCTAAATTTATCCAATTTAAAAGAATATTCTTTATAACAAGATTTCTAACTTACTTTTCTTTTTTTTTAAGATTTTATTTATTTGTTTGTCAGACAGACAGTACAAGCAGGGGGAGCATCAGGCAGAGAGAGCAGCGTCCCTAACTTCTTACTTAGTATTAATTTCCTCTCAAAAGTAAATATATATATTATACAAAAAAACCTCTGAGACCTATTTTTAAAAAATTGTAGAGGGGCATCTGGGTGGTTCAGTTGGTTAAGTGCCTGACTCTTGATTTTGGCTGGGTTCGTGATCTTGGGGTGGTGGGATCGAGCTCTGCGCTGGGCTCCCAACTCAGTGTGTAGCCTGCTTAAGATTCTCACCCTCTCGAATAAATAAATAAATCTTAAAAAAAAAAAAAAGTTGTAGAACAAAACACATGGTTAGATCCTATTTCTGTAAAACAAAATTCTGTATAGAAAACAGTATGGGAGGGGCACTTGGGTGGCTCAGTCGTTAAGCGTCTGCCTTCGGCTCAGGTCATGATCCCGGGGTCCTGGGATCGAGCCCTGCATCGGGGGGCTCCCTGCTCAGGGGAGAGCCTGCTTCTCCCTCTGCCTCTCCCTCTCTATCTGCTTGTGTTCCCTCTCTCGCTGTGTCTCTCTCTGTCAAATAAATAAATAAAACCTTTAAAAAAAGAAAGAGAAAGAAAACAGTATGGGAGGATACATACTCAACCTCTGAGGAGAGTGGGATTGAGGAGGGTGGTATGTGAAGGACTCAAGATTTTTTTCATTCTACACAATTTTTTTAAAATAGGAAATATAAATTTTTAATATTTTTAGGACATACATTTAAAAGCTTTCTAGGGGCACCTGGGTGGCTCAGTCAGTTGAACGTCTGCCTTCATCTCAGTTCATGATCCCAGGGTCCTGGGATCGAGCCCCGCATCGGGCTCCCTGCTCAGCGGGGAGCCTGCTTCTCCCTCTCCCTCTGCAGCTCCCCCTGCTTGTGCTCTGTCAAATAAGTAAATAAAATCTTAAAAATAAAATAAAAGCTTTCTAAATAATTTTTAATGCTTTAAAAAATAATGGTGATAGGCAGTAGTAAGCTTTCTAAATACCCATATATGGGAAAGCAAAACTCTCAAATTTAAATTAGCTGGTCCAGGGGTACTGGGTAGCTTAGCTGGTTAAGCGTCTGCCTTTGGCTCAGGTTGTGGTCCCAGGGTCCTGGGATTGAGCCCCGTGTCAGGCTCCCTGCTCTGCAGGGGAGTCTGCTTCTCCCTCTGCCCCTCCCCCCGCTCCTATTTTCTCTCTCTCAAATAAAATAAAAAATCTTAAAAAAAAAATAAATTAGGGATACTTGGGTGGCTCAGTCGGTTAAGCATCTGCCTTCAGCTCAGGTCATGATCCGGGGGTCCTGGGATTGAGCCCCACAGCAGGCTCCCTGCTTAGCAGCTTGCTTCTCCCTCTCCCCACTGCTCCTGTTCTCTCTCACTATCTCTCAAATAAATGAATAAAATCTTTATTTTTTTTTAAAGATTTTATTTATTTTTGCGAGAGAGAAAGAGAGAACGTGAGCATGAGTGGGGAGGGGTAGAGGAAGAAGCAGACTCCCCACTGAGCAGGGAGCCCAACACAGGCTGGATCCCACAATCCCGAGATCATGACCTGAGCTGAAATCAAGAGTGGGAGGCTTAATCAACTAAGCCACCCAGGTGCCCCTTAATTAGGTTCTTAACCACTAGTCACAGTTCTTTAGCTCTTTTCATTCTCAAACTGTGGGACCAGATCCCAGGACCCTGAAATCACGACCTGAGCCAAAGGCAGACACTCAACCGACTGAGCCACCCAGGTGCCCTAAATGAAATCTTTAAAAAATAAATAAATAAGTTGGTCCACAAAATCCTAAATTCTGGGAACCAGTACTGCAAGAATCAGTTAATTAGGTTCTTCTTTTTTTTTTTTTAAGATTATTTATTTGAGAGA